AATAATCGATTATTCCGATTAGTTGTTTCAGCCCTAAAGCATATAGCGGTTGTTTATGGGGAAAAGGTGACCCCAGGTTTGTTTAAATTCTTTGACAGTTGTATATTTTTTTACTCTCCGAGTTTACAATTCATTTTCCAGCTTGCATTTTTTTTTAAAAATTTGCTTCGACATTAAAGCATTTTAGTTCTGATGGTGTAAACCAAGGAAAATATATCATGTGACCGTACTATAACTTTTTTAGGAACCTAAATCAGATGAGAAAAAGTAAACTTTAAAAGTAAGAAATGCTCCAAACACCAAAATGAATTGCAATTCAATTATATTTTACCAGAGAGATTTTATTTCCTGTCTTGATAATTTAAAAGAAATAACCTTTATAGTCCCTGAGTGGGGAAATTCAAATTCACTCAAATTAAAGATCGGCTTCTAAGAAGTGTTAGATTGTACTACTGCAATAAAAGGCAACTTTATTTTAAGGCTTTTTACGCACCAGTTGTGCCAGTAAGTGTGGAGGGTGCTGAATACAAATGACCAAAATGCTGGAAAAGTGAAAGAATCCAGCCTCTGTCACACATGAACACCTCTTTTATTTCAAGTTCTACAGTCCAGCTTGTGTTGTGCTAACCTACAATCCTTCAGCTTAGCTTTTATTTTTTAACCTCCCACGCCGATAAAAAAAAAAAAAAAAGTGTCAAGTTAACAGCCCGCTACAAACACCAAGCCGAGTCGGGGCGTGTGAGCTTTGTTGCTTTAGCTTTGTCGTGCCGTTCTGTCAAAATGGGCCTCAGCAGATGCCACGGCCTCCGCTCAGTCCTGGTAAACAGCCATAGAGACAAACAGGAAGACACACACACACTGCAGCAACACAGAGGCTGTTTGTCTGAGCAGGTATCAGTCAAAGTGGGGATCCTAACACACCCAGCAGGAACCTGGATGTTTTTCGCTGATCTGAAGCCAGCGTGCGATACTTGAAGGAATGGCAGACACTCAGAGCACATCGGGAAGAAAATCTGATGCCTGTCTAAAGCTAGATCCGCAGGAAGAAAGCGAAAGTGTTGCTCAGCATGTGTGTGTACGTCTAAGTGTGTGGGAGTTTGTGTGGGCATTGAATTTTTTTTCTTCTTTTTTTTGACCTCATTCACTGGCCGAGAGAATGCAGACCTGCTGTATATTGTTCAGGCTGTGTGTGAGAGACAGAAGCAGGGTTTTTAAATTGTATGCAAAGCTGTTTTAGAATGCGGGGGTAGGTGTGTGTGTTAAAGGAGGCAGATGCGCCACGGAGCCCCTGATTGGCCTCTTACCCCAGAGACCAGAGTCAACAGATGGGTGGATCTAAGAAATCAGAGGCATCAGCACAAAGACAAAGCCCCTCACTGACTCCCCATTCATTATTAATATCATTTTACATTATTTATAGGTCTACCTATATCACCTCATTTGAATTAATATAGATCTATATGCTTACATAGTGTATTGCAGGAGTGCTCAGATCCCTCCAACATTTTAAAATGCTGTCAGGTTACAACCACCAAATTCAATTAGTGCTTCATAGTTGTGAATTAAAATCCCAGCCTCTCAGCTGTTATTGGGAGGTTATTCTGCTTTGCTCTAAATGTTTCTGCCACGTTTGGGTGGAGGTAGTGATGTTAGCGCGTGTCGAGGCGTGATTCATTTAGGGGAGGGGCCAAAACTGATGACGTCCGAAGCCTCGCTACTGTGATACCATGTGACCGCTTCGGGAAGTGGTTCAGAAAGCGCAAGAACTTCGACAGGCATTTAAACAGCCTCAGTATTCAGTGCAGATGTGGAAGTTTGTAGGAGAATTGCGCTCAGTTGGATAGATTCTAAGAATAGATCGGTTGGACAAAGACACAATCTAGTTGGTTGAAACTATTTTGGTTTGATTAAACAATGTAATGATCAAAATCTGAGCAAGCAGCTGGTTACAGTTGTGGTTTTAGTGTTAAGTTGGTTACCATGGCGGCGCTCCAAGCCAGGGGCCAAGAGCAGCTCCTTGCGACAATTTCACAAAATATACCGCTTAAAACAATACAGACTAGTATGGTGGCCCTGAAGTGCAAACTGCAACTACAAATCTAAAAGCGCAACTACATTAGGAAAAACACAATAACATTAACCTACCGGAAAAGGTAGGTA